TATATATATATGTATATATGTATGTATGTATACATGTATACATATACATATATCCTTTATATGTATAAATATATATATATATAGAAGAAAGAAAAACAGGAAACGGAGTACACTTTAGAACACTATTTTATTAAAACATGAATATTTCGACCTGACCCCAGGTCCTCTTCAGCATGACTGATTTATAAACACTATGTACAACAACTTGACATACTAATATATCTAATTAGCACTTGGGCAGAGTTAATCAAGATAACTTAATTATAATAACATATATAAATAAGACTTTGACCAGGCCTATAAACAAGTTGATATAAACGAAAGGGGAAACTCATAAATAAACAGCAGGTTAGTGTAAGACAACTTAGAACTGAGAGTCTATAAATGCGAGTATCATACCTTTAGACCACAAAAACCTACAGCTTTCAGTTCAGTTCAGTTTCTTTTATTCACATCAAGATCGCAGCCAAAGCTGAATTACATGATATTTACAAAAAATGAATATTAAAATAGTAGTATTATTATCATTATTACATATACAAACTGAAGTAAAACATGTTCAAGCATTGCACAAAAGTTAATTGTTAATATTATGTTACTAAATATACAAATTCAAGTTGGAAAAAACATAGCATTGCACGAAAGTCAATTTGAATTACATCGACATTTTAACACAACTGACTGAAAAGTTCACATATAGTAGAGCTATAACTAAGCTAAGAAAGCTGATATTGCAGCTTGGAAATCAGAGTAAATAATATTTAAATTATGGTTGCTGCGTAGCACCGTAAACACAATATAAACTAATATGGACAGTGGTACACAGCAAACTAATTTTAAAATTATTTACTATAATTTCCAAGCTGCGACCTACGTCCTACTGGATGGTGATAATCTTATATAACTTGAAGCACTTTTATAAACATTTTATATACAAGTTATAATGTTATTTAAAATGAGTCAGTTAATTTTAAAAACGATTTTTATATTCCTTCTATTTGCACAGGGCAATACATCTTTAAGAGGTATATTTTCCCGAGTTTAATTGAAATAGGGTTCCCCTACTACATTGAACGAGATAAGCAGATAATTTCATGTGTTTTTGTTTACAGAATATTACGTGAACTACACCCTACTACATTGAACAAAATAAGTAGATAATTCGATGTGTTCTTTGGTTACAGAATATTACGTGAACTTCAACAATTTTCAGGGGCTGAAGATGGTCACATGTCATTTCGCCAAGCGATGCATATTGCTAAAGATTCTCCTCCATGTATACCATTTATTGGTACGTTCTTGCAGGATATTATTGCATCTGAATTTGATTTTGACGAGACGGTTATTGATGCTAATTTAATAAAGGGGGAAAACTCATCGACAGAAAGCTTGACTATACAACCATCTTTAGGCTTCGACGCAGCTGAAGAACTTTCTAATTCTACGAGCAATGAAATTGATAATAACTTAATTGATAATTCATCAATAAAGGGAAACTTTCTGTACTCATTTGCGTCAGCTTGGCGCGCCTTGCGCCCATCATTTACGCATAAAACTGGTAAAATTAAAGAAAGCGATGCTGTTATTGAATTCCAATCACGTACCGATATATCGTCAGTTAGTAGGCCTAAACCTACTCCAATAACAAGTGAAAGGAGAAGGCATATACAGAAACTAATATTGGCATATGCGAGAAAATTGGGTGCGGAAGACAATGAACAGAATGCAAAGGTTAATTCAGGATCGATGGATGAAGATTATATAGATTGGAAAAAACTATTTGATTTTGTAAAAATTCAAAAGGATAACATAAATGTAACACAACAGCCGTCATCTTGTGATTCAAGTGTTTACAGTAGTACAGAAAAAGCAGATAACGCAATACGAGATCAGGTTAATAGGACGTTGTTCTTATTCCAGTCGGCTGCTGTACAGTATGGTGCTCAAAGCCGTCCAACAGTTAGGAAGTATCTATTGACAAAATCATATGTATCTGGTGATGAGTTGTACACACAATCAAGGTTGTTGGAAGAACCATGACTACACATTATTATTGTTATTCTTATTATTATTATTATTATTATTATTATTATTATTATTATTATTGTTTTTATTATTATTATTATTATTATTCGTAATAGTTTATTTTGTTAAAAAATGTGCTATTAATTGTTTTAATTTTGTCACTGTCATTACTAGTAGCCTATGTCTAAACACAAAGTAAACATGAAGCAAATGTGCGCGTTTATTTTGTCAACAATAAAGTACGTCACCGGCTTACACGCATGAAAGTATATTGAATTAGTTATTATACAACTCTCATATCTGCTCTTCTTAACATGTTACTTTTTAACCTTAGTTAATCTGTAAAAATGTATAATTAATGATATCACAAAATCACACCCCCACACATTTTCAGACAGAGGTTCTAACAATATTGCAGAACAACACCGGTATACATCGACATGGCCCATTCATACTGTGACATCCTCCTACCACGGCCTATCTAGGCATAGGTTAAATGACGACACATACAACGTGTCAACCATCTGCATTCCACTAACGCCGCCTCATCCCTTATATCCAACAAACATTGTATAATAACAAGATAGCGTTCTCCGTGACTTCTGAGTACACATTTTGTAATAACGCAGTGTAGGACGCAGGCACGTAGCCAAGAATTTGAAGGGGGGCGTACGTAGTACCGAGCGGGGGTGGGGTTTCCCCCTTCCTACGGCTGGGGGACGCCAAGGACCCCGGTGGGGTCGAGGGGCCCCCTCGGAGGTAGCGCACTCTGAACGCTTAATGACTGTTTTGAGAGGATAAAGTGAAAATTGCAATAGACGCATCATAAATGATATTAGTACGCCTAACAATAATTATAATAATAACTCAATAGTGGTGGATCCAGAGTTGACGGAACTAGGGGGTGCTGTGTTATGGAGAGTAATGTGTGACCGGAAATGGTCTGCAGTCAGTTGGTTGTTACCATGCGCCAGTGAGGTTGGAGTATATAGTACAGCAATTAGAAACTATTATGTAGGCCTAATGAATGAATAAAGTTCGGAGTTTGTCGGGTATTGAAATGATTATTTCACATTTTAAGTGCTCCCTAAATTCACAAGTGTAAGCTAAATTACGGTGATTAATTTAATTAGCGAAGATATGGAGACAATTATTTCGAATCCCTCTTTCCAAGAGGGGACGCAAATGCTTTGTGAAAATGAGTACGCCGCGGTACTCATTTTCACAAAGAAATACACACAACTGGTTAGCTAACAATTATGTCAATGTTACATGAACACCTGGGAAGGAAGGTGCAATCACGTTGTTACCTAGCAAACGTCTGTACTGTATGGGGGAGGGGCTGCTGATGTACTGTGTAGCGGGGGACGATGAGGCATAAGACTAGGCCTAGGCCTAACTAAGACTGTGGAATTATATGTGATAGAAAGTACACTTTCGGAAGAAATAAATTAAAATAACAAAAAAAAATAACTAAGAATAATTCATTTGCAGAGGTACCTTATTTAAGTATTATACAATGCGGCTCTTGTAGCCCTGGCTTGGGCAAGGCATCCATGTGCAAAGCAGTGGTGTTTGTTTATCCATGAAAAAAGCACACCGGGAAAATTTGCCTTACCAGGAAAAGGTGACGTACTGTATCCAGCTTATGACGTATGCATGCTAACTAATGTGAGTGTGGCGTCACCAAAAAAAATGAATATTTTCTATTATAAACAAAATATTATTAACTACAAAGTTTCTGGGCGTAAATTCCCCTAATATGAATGAAGGGTTGCTCAATCTCCTTGCCATACAAATTACATCTCCCACTGACGTCTCAATCGAGAAATACGGGTAGCTGAAGTTCTTCTCGCAAATCTGACTACAAAATCATATCCAAATTTCACGTTCCACTTTTGACCCCGAGTTGTGCTTCGCACTCGCCGCTGAGGGCGGCGTTCCGAGAACCCTGTGTCCAGAAATTCGAAAGGGAGGTGACCCAGATAGGGACTTTCACAGACTGAGGGTCCACCCACCTCAGCCCCTCCATGGTTGGGGCTGAGGTACGAAAATTTATGATTAGGACACCTCTAGCTGGCCGGAAATTAATAAAAATTATTAAATCATGCAATTCAAGCCATACATACCGATCAAAGAGTTTCTGCTTATTTTCAAGTGTAAACTTCAACACTGTTTTTGTACGAACAACTATTACAACGGTGTTAATATGGAGCGCTTAAATCGCAATCGACTTTCTTAATTTAGCCATCTTACATACTTCCCTGCTTAAGGCACATTGGTCCTCAAGTGCTAGACAATAATGGAATGTAGGCAACACAGTTATAACTGGACAAACTGTAATACTTAGGCATATTCATCATCTAATTATATATTCACGCACTACTAAAGTGACACCAGTTCCGTACGAAGAAGTATAATTTATTTTAATATTCCAATAATGCAATGTCGCCCTCTTGAGTTCCAGCATTGTCACATTGCTTGATATTTGTGTTTTGATTTTCAATAAAAGTTCAGTTAAATTTAACAAAGAGTTCAAATACTTATTTATGCTGGAAGTCGCGACGAGCACACCTAAGCCTACATACTAAAGTGAGCGCTGCGCTGTACAGTATTACCATTTACTAGTATGCCTGTTGTTGACTGCCCGATAGAGGGCTGTGCCTACCAAACTCCTGATCTCGGAGTGGCCGTTGTAGCAGCTCTTATCATAGCCCACTGCACCACTCACGCTGGGCCTACCCAATAGTGCCCCTACGGCCAATGTTGAGAAGGTAAAAAGGCCTTGTATATCCTCAGTCGGGACTAGTGAAGAATGGTCTTACTTCCAATCACGTTGGGCCGAATATGTGGAAGCCACCAAAATCACAGGCCAAGACAAGGTTATCCAACTATTAGAATGCTGTGATGACACTCTCCGCAACAGACACATGCGTGCCACAGAACATTGGTCAGAACACACTAAGCGTTTACCACCACTCGTGGTCGGCGACATGGTTCGTATCCAAAATCAAATTGGCCCCAACCCTAGAAAATTGGATAACACCGGATCCATAATTGAGGTACGTCAGTTTGACCAATACGCCGTGAAGGTTGATGGTTCTGGCAGGGTTACATTGCGTAACAGAAAATTCCTCTGCAAAATACGAGCCTGTGGTTCCGCCACCACACCAACTCACCATCGACAGCGACTTGCGCCATCGTGTTTTCACCCACCCGACACACGGTGAACGTTCGACCCAACCACCAACACCAACTACGCCGTCCACTCCACAACAGCAACCTACCATCGGCGTACACCAGCAGCACGACCCACCTAACGGCGAAGACACCAGTCCTGTCGCTCAACCGGAGCCAGCACTTACTGATCCAGACATTACCAGCAACGATACCACCATTGTCACCGAATTCGCCACCGCCTTACACCATCCCACCTACTAACGTTAGACGTTCCGACCTTGTCCGAACACCTCCTCTCTGGCATAAGGACTATAATATGACTTTGTGAGTCTTTGACACATACCTTGTCAAAGACTTGGTGGGTGGGGGGGAGGAGGAGATAGACAATAATGGAATGTAGGCAACACAGTTAACTGGACAAACTCTAATACTTAGGCATCATCTAATTATATATTCACACACTACTAAAGTGACACCAGTTCCGTACGAAGAACTATACAGTACTCGCGCGAATAAGCGCCCGGGCGCTTAAAATATTTGTTGCACTTTCTGCGGGGCGCTTATAAAAACAGAGTGGAAATTGAAGGGGCGCTTATGGAAATAGATGAAAATCGAGTGGTTCTTATGGGAAATTATTAAATTCAAGAGGCACTTTTGGAATGAAAAAAAAAAGATTATTTAAGGACATTACGAATGGTGGTTAGGCGGAAAAGATAATCGTCCAGAGAACATGGCTCATGACAAGAATTCGTGAATATTTACATAACAGCGAAATAGCAGATGCAATTAGTGGTGGCAGGTAGTGGTTAGCTTGTTGGCCATCGGCCGGTTGAGATTAACAGGATGGCAGGAACATTGTATTTTTTCTTGAAAACTCAGATGAGAATGTGCTAAAGGTTGGAAAAAGAAAAAGAGGAGTAGGACTAGGCATAGACAAATACGGTATGTAAAATGAGTAAAGTAGGAAATATACTGTCTGTCCAGGGATCGGAGCTCTCATCAGTCCCAGAGAAATATCCTCATTTTTATATTGACCTAAGAAGAATGTGTTTCCACTCTGCAGCTCAAATCATGACAACAACCACAGTCCCAGGATTGATTGGATTATTGACTTGCTAAAAAGAAAATCTTATGAAATTATTAGGGGGCGCTTATTCAAATTAGAAGGGGTGCTTATTCAAACGGGGCGCTTATTCGCGCGAGTACGGTAATCTATTTTAATATTCCAATAATGCAATGTCGCCCTCTTGAGTTCCAGCATTGTCATGTTGCTTGATATTTGTGTTTTAATGTTCAATAAACGTTCAGTTAAATTTGACAAAGAGTTACTTATTTAAATGCATTGAAAACTGAGCAATTAAAGCCAGTTATGGTAATTAACACAAATCATTATTTTCATTTTTAACAGTAGCACCAATGTTTAAATGTTAACACTCGTACACCAATTTCTGTGTAACACTAACTCCAATTAGAACCTTAACAATAACACACATAAGCAATTACACAATCAAAGTTAAGCTATTACTTAAGATCCTATGAGACCTTTCAATAATTGTCTCTTCAAAAACAACAATTAATCAGTCCAAAACTAGAAACAGTCCCTGAATTGCTCCATTAACTCGGTTACCTGTCAGTACGTGGGTTGATGATTCATTACTTCGCTGGTGGATTATATAGCCTCTGTAAAAGTATACTGATATGACCTTCCTCGAGAGTAGACTATCCCTCTGGTCATGGTGTGTTCACACATTCTCCGCTGTTTCGAATCAACTATATGTAATTACGCTAACATTGTTAATGGAGATTATTGAATATGCCGAGTCACCAAAATCTTGCAGGCATTAATCACATAATAATGCAGTTCCTTTCGTCGATCACTTTAAATTTCCTTAATATTTTCAACAGGTAAG